GTCCGAAGGACGAGCATATCAGTACGAGGTCCTGCTCTCCGGGCTGTCCCTGGTGCCCCGTGTCTTCACGTAAGTTGCGGAGGTACCCCTTGTTCCCTTGAGAGACCAGAGCATTCGCATTCTCAACTACCTCGACGAAGCAGTCTCAGTATCAGTTGTGCGAGCTGGGGCTGCTCCATATGAGACCGCTGCAGTACTGGCTCCATGGCAGAGTCCCAAGGTGGGCGTGGCAACGCGGCACCTTCCGGGTCCGAGTTACACCGCCCTGCCGCCAAACCTTCACCCCGTGGTCAGACCTTGCGTTCCTCCGGGCAGGAGTGCCCCTGGAGCAGGTCTCCAGGCATGCTGTGGTTTGCACGGATGCCTCAACCACCGGCTGGGGGGCCACGTACAACGGGCTTGCAGTGTCAGGGGTTTGGACGGGGCCCCAACTGCACTGGCTGCCTCGAGTTGCTGGCAGTGCGCCTTGCCCGGGGCCGTCTCAAAGGGCGCTTACGAGGCAAGCATGTACTAGTCCGCACGGACAACACAGCGACCGTTGCGTACATCAACCGACAAGGTGGTCTGCGCTCCCGTCGCTTAACAGTTAACAGTTGCTGTGCAAGGTCAGGAAGGACGAGGAGCAGGTCCTGCTGGTGGCACCCTATTGGCCTTCCCGGACCTGGTTCCCGGAACTAATGCTCCTCGCGACAGCCCCTCCTTGGCCGATTCCTCTGAGGAAGGATTTGCTGACTCAGAGACGGGGCACCCTTTGGCCTCTGGAACATGTCCGGTCCCTGGACGGGACGCGGAGGTTCTGAGTGGCCTACCCCAAGAGGTAGTTGACACCATCACTTCAGCGAGATCACCGTCTATGAGACACTCGGAGGAGGCAGACCCAGCCCTAGTTTTGCTGTCCCGTCCGAGCCTTAAGGTGCTACGTAGACCGGACGCAAGGCTTCAGGACCTCAGACCAGCTCGTTGTCTGTCTAACCCTCGTTCCCTGAAGGAGGGAATGGAGACGTCACGTCCCGTCGCCACAGCTCCTGTACCACCGCTGAGCGGCCGGGTCACCGGCTCAGCTCCTCAGCGAAAAGCTGAATATGCGCTGCATCTGCTGCCTACTTATACTCACGCTGTGATCAGCAGCAGCTGGATGCAATAATCGCATGCCAATGTGCATTGGCTCGTTTAGTTTACACTCTAAGTAGATTGGTCCCTCTAAGCGAGATCCCAATTCGTCGGTCCTCCGGCGTGACGTCTCCGTTCCCTCCTTCAGGGAACGAGGGTTACATACATAACCGAGACGTTCTGTACATTAACATCCTTCTTTTAATCTGTGGTAGACTTGATCATAGGCGACATAGGGTGGCAATGTTCAGCACAGAATGCTTCCCCTCGCTTAGCTGTCACTTCATTTATCTTCCAAATGCAATCTTCCAAGTTAAAATGCAATAAAATGGGCTACCGTTACTGACATAGCCTGACAAACAGCTATTGTTGACAGTTTTCATCTAAAATGGACAATGCATCCTTGTCACAAATTATACACAATGACCAATTACACATAGAGAGCCATAAGAATTAAATATTTTAATGTGAGAATAATTAACATGGTTTACTATACACTAGTCACTAGCATGACGTTTAGGTAATCTCGATAATGACAAATGTCTGTATTCCAGAATGGTTTCATAGTGTGAGCCCCCCCTCCCCCCAAGGCAAAGAGTAATTTTATAATTTTATGGTTTTGCAGTGATATTTAATGAATAAGCTATTTTAATCTTTTTGAAGCGTTGAAAAACTGTTACTATAAAAAAAAACACAGAACCCATGTGAGATCAAGAGACTTTATTAGAAAAAAAATTAATATGAATATACAAATGAAAGCATTCTGCAAGTTGCAAGTCAAACCATGAGTCATTCAGCAGCAATCACAGAAACCAAAGTTTCTTTGTAGGAAATACTATAGTCCGCATGGATTAAAATAAGAATAAATAAATAAATAAAATAAGCACATTAGTTTAATAAAAGTCCAGTGTCAACCATTTTTGTGTCATAACTGATTATATGAGATATATACTGTATAGAAAGACTGCCAAGAGTGTTAAGACATTCAGAATAGCCATGCTTGTAAATTCAGACCCTGTTATATGGGTATGAATATACAAAAGTCACTGTGTCAACGGAGCACAATTAATGGTCTATTAGCCACTAGAAATTACAGAAAAAGATACATATTCACTTATATGAACTCACTGGATTTCTATTAAGAACTCTTAATAAATCATCACATAAAATCTCAAATAGAAGTCAACACCAAAATGCATACATGAAATAATTCTACATTACATTTTAACTTATCAAAGCCCATTTCTTTGATATAAATAATAAACATTCTGAACAGAGAACTGTTAACACAGAGCATATACAGTAGATATACAACTTGTGAATCCAACTAACAATGTAATCACAAGCTATTGAGACAAGTTTGAAAAGAAAACCTAAAGAGCTTGAGCAAATGTATAATACTGTAGGCTGTTGTTTCATCCATCTGGGACTGGGTGTACATTTGACAAGTTAAACAGCAAATGACCTGTTAAAAAGTCACATCATTACATTCAAATCAACTTCTATTACTTGCTTCCTTACTGTATAATCACAGATGCATTGCCAAAAGGTGTCAATTCTTCTGTGGTCCACTGATGATAGTTAATCTTACTTTTGTCTAGACTACTTATGTCTGACACTTTCAATTATTCACATTATTGCAGTGCACAACACAGCATTAAACAAAGATGTAAACAAAGTACATTGCTTCATAAACTATTACAATTACTTGAAGCACAGTCAACATCAATAATGTTTAGCCAAGTAAAATGTTAAAAGTGAAACAATCAGGTCTTTTTTTGAAAGGCTGAAAAAATCATTAAATCACACATGATTAGATCATCTGGTTTGTAATTGTACAAATGTTGAACAGACAACTGTTTCGGGACCAGAATAAAAAGAAAAAGGATATCATGCGCTGTATGAAATATACATCTGTTACAAATTATAAACCAGCAATGAATCTACACAGGTGTGGCCATATTTAAAATGAACTGGAAATCAGTTTTCTCTTTTTCTAAAATCTCAACATTTATGACCGTCTGTTTTGCCACTTACAGAAGTTAAAAGAAGCATATTTTAATACAATTTATTGCTCACATTACATGTACGATAACTTGAATAACATTTTTATATACTGTAAATTTCTGAGAAAGCATTTAAATAAATAAGAGCAATAACGACTGCTAGACATTCAGCATGCTAAGTTTATTTGCTAAAACTCAAAACTATATCTAATTAATAAATTCCAAAATTGCCAAAATATAGGCTGCTTATTAGAATACTTTTTACTGAAGAGACCATTCAATGTAGTTTTTTTGTTATTTTATGGAATGAGTCAGTTGAACTGGCTTAATTACACTAATTGTAGTTCAACAATCCTGAGACGCAAATGTCTGACTATATCAATTCCCAGGTTTTAAGAACACTCATGAGGCCCAAAAACAGTTCAAGACCAGAACGTCTTCGATAAACAGGACAAAATATGATTTCAGGAGGTTGTCATGGTTGAAGGGTCAGTCCACATGGCTGCCACATCTCTGAACCTGCAGAGAGTATAATGGCAAAACATTTAAGCATGTAAAGCATAAGGATCAATGACCAATAAAACTGTTCACGACAAGGAAACATAAAAAACCCCAAAAAACTTTTGAACATTGCATGAATCAAGTTAGAAATGGAATCTTTATATTTATGCTGTTTCAGTTGTTTCAGGTATATGTAAACCATTTTCAAGACATATTTAAAAATGTATTTAAAAATAAAAATGTAATGTGGTGTAAGCAAAAGTTAATAATATACGCTACCATTCAAAGATTTTTTTTACTTTTAAAGAAATGGATACTTTTTTTCAGCAAGAATGCATTATAAAGACAGTTATAGTTCAAATAAATTCTGTTGTTCTTTAACTCTACTGCAACTTCTTTCAATCCTGGAAAAAAAAACTTCCAAACTTCATTAATGCACCATTTTTGACTAATAATAATAATAAGAAAGTTTTTTTCTTGAATACTAAATCACAGATGATTTCTTAGGGAACACTGAAGACTGGAGTAATAGTCATTGCAAATAGAACGTTGCTATTTCAGAGAAAAAAAATGTGAATTTTAATTATACTGTATTAAAATGTAAATCAGTCATTTTAAATTATGATGATATTTTACAAATTACTGTTTTGACTTTTTTTCCATTACATAAATTCAGCATTGGTGAACATAAGACTCTTCTGTTAAAAAAATGCTTTTTGGTGTATATTTAATAATTAGTTTTACCCTTAAAAAATATTGCAATTAAAATTATTAGTTTAGTATTAAAAAAAGTCTGTTTTTACCAGTTACATGTCATTGCTTGCTTTGAATCTCACCTGGCATTTATGAGGTACTGTGCCAGGCTGATGTTGGCAGGTGTTCCAGTAATGGTGATCTGACGGTCTGATGACCCCTCCATGGCATTAGCAATTTTGATCTGAGCCCCAGACATTTGACGAATTTCATTAATTTTTGTGCCCTGACGTCCGATTATGCAGCCTATTAGCTAGAAACATAAAGCAGACCGATTAAAGTCCGTTTGGAAAATCAACAACTCTTCCTTAATTTCTTCTTTAATACAATTGCCCAATGAGGGGGTTACTGAAGACAAAGAATTATGCTCACATCATTTGGAATGGTGAGTTCATGAGTACTGGCCTGTGAACTGGCATCCACACCTAGAAACAGAAAGAGAGCGGGAGAACTGAGAAAAAAATCTGAAATATAGAGAGCATTTTTTTTTCACAATATTAACCATGTTAAAACTGTACATTGTACAAATTGTTGTAATTTTAATGATAAAAGACTAAAAATGCTACAGTAAAAACCTGTTAATTAGTTCATGGTAAATTCCCTTACTATATATGGTGAAAAACTGTAATAAATGTAATGAAACATATCATGTAATTTTAAATACTGTTAATAAGTAAAACACTGTTACATTTACAGTTTTTGGAAGTGAAAAAGAACAAGTCCTCTTGTAATTTACAGGGACAAATACATAAATCGACATTCCCAGAATTCTCTGTGTGACACTTCACATTTGAGGGTTTTTCCATTGAAATAAAAATGATTCTTATTTTTTTCTTATCAGTTAGGTACATTACGGTTTATGTGACTTTTTTTTTTTTTTACTGTAAATTTAAGTTTAATATGTAAAACTTAATATGCTGATTCTGGCAACCACAGTTGTGCAACCAGCTGTTTTGTTTTGTTTTGCTCTTATGCTGCATGTGTAGCATATTTCCATCCATCTAATAAATGTTTGCATTAGGGAGAGGTTAATTGCCACTATATACATTGCTATTGGGTGGTATCCTTTCAAAAGGTACCACTTAGGCACTAATATGTATATTTTAGGTACTAATATGTACCTTTAAGGTACTAATATGCAACCCATCCTGGGGGAGAAGAGTGAAAGACAGAAGTGAATGAAAGACCTACAGGTATATAGTGAAGGGTGTGTAGCGGGGGGGTTGGGTACGTACCAGGGAAAGCGGGGGTGGTCTGTCCGAGGGAGGTAAAGGGGGTTTGCTGCATAGCCAGCTGATGGAGCTTTGTCAACTGCTGGGGGAGGGAGGAGGGTCAGTACACCTAAGAAGTTATGATTAAATAAAGGACCTTCACAAACTCATCTAGACACTAACAAGGGGAAGCTGTGAGAAATCTCATTTATGACTCTGCCTTCTATAAAAAACACAAACATATCAGTTGTATGAATTTTAGTAAAGCAGGTCATGAAAAAAAGGTTAACAAAGGTTAACAAGAACACTACACTAAAGAGGTACGAAGAATTAAAAGTCGTACTCACGTCTGGGTGTGGGATGGCATATTGTCCCTGAATGGTGTAGGCCTAAGAAAGGAAAAATAATCTTCAATGTACATGTACAGAATTCAACATCAATGTACTGTACACACAGACGTAGGTACATAAACTTGTTTTTATAATTGTGGTAATTATATTTAATATAATCAAATTTTACATGTGGAACACATGGCCATCGAGTGAAAACTAATTAATTTCATGGCCTGAATTAACTATGTGACACAAATGTTACATTTAAGTTACAATTAAATACATTTTTGTACACACAAGTCTTTGTGTTTCATTAATCAAAATATAGTGTTTTTTTGCACAAAATTTTAAACCTAAGTTCCTTCCATTTTGTGCACAGAGGGGTGAATGTACTTTTAATTTTGTGGGTAAGAGAAAACAGCTTTCATGGAGATTATCAAATGCATAATTTGTAGTCCACAAAATGCTCAATCTTTGAATGAGATACTGTATTTCGAGGATTGTCTGCATTATTTGTCCACAAAATGTTATTTCATGATTCATCATATCACAATATGCATTTCCTTTTGTGGACCAAGTGTATTTACTTTTATCGATGAAATTAATCAATTAAGTAAATTAACATTTGATTTTGTGAATGAAATGAAGTGCTGTTACATTTCTGTTAATGAACTCCAACTGGCTTTTGTCTTTCTGTACATGAAATCATGTGCTGGCTTTACATTTTCTGTGGATGAAATCCAACTGGTTTTTGTCTTTTTGTACGAATTCTATTAAAATATAACTGTATTTTGTTCGAATTTCTTCAAGTAATTAAATTATCCAAAAAGACTGTCATTACATTTTACATGTATCACCCCATAGGAATATGTATACTTGTGTATGACTTAGAATTACATATCATAAGTATCATAACTTCATAAAGTTTTTTCTAAGCAAAAAGATGATAATTTATCTTGGCAAATGGCTCACATCCCACTAGTTTATTTTTAATATACTAATACTATGTCTGTATGTACTGTATGTCTGTAGTAGTAATAGTGTATAGCTTAACCATTCTTACAGGCAGAGGCTGATGCTGCAGTAACAAGCTGAGGTTGGCTGTGGCTGGTGCTGTCAGAGTATCTGCTCTTAGCTGGCCCCCAGAGAAAATGACTTGTGCAGTGGCAGGTTTCGGCCTATATGGAATTGTGGCACCTTTGGGTGGGGACTGGCAAAAGTCAGTGGAGGTCAAATAAAGATGGAAATTAGGAAAAAAGAAAAGTGAGGGCAAACTATAATAGAACAGAATGTAATAGATGCTTAGATGGTTACCAAAATGAGACCATGATAAAAAGTCAACTCCCTATTTGACATAAGAATATATGCTGATATTCAAATCTAAACATCTATTTTAAATCTGTCACACAATGTTGCTCTGTTTTTGTTATTTCCACAAAATTAGATCTTTTTAAGAATGTTCAAAATTAATCCATACCTGTGGTTTTTGCACTTCACAACATTTGGTCATGTGACGTGCAAGAAACAATGAGGGTTGACATTAGTTGATGTTTGAGGTTTGTGTCGCAATATTTGATTACATCATCTGTGTATGCATGTGCTGATCAATGTTTGGATTTGATCTGAAAGTGGATAAAGTGTTAGATTTCTATCTGTTCATCACACTGCCTTTTTGTAGCTTGAGAGTTTTGATTTTCATAATATGGACAAAAACAGCTGGAACATTCTTCAAAATATCTTCTTTTGTGTTCCACAGAAGTCAGAAAACCATTCAACTTTGGAACAACATGAGAGTGAGAGTTTAGTGAACTATTTCTTTAACCTCTTTTAAACCACTGTAATGTGTCTATTACTTACCTCCAACATGACCACACAGATCTGCTTCACACACTGAATAATGGCCTCTGGAGCACCTGAGATAGTGACCGCCCGCTCAGTAGAATTGGGCAACATGTCTCCAGCCACTTGCACTTGAGCCCCTGTAGACTGGAGAACATGCACAGTACAATCAGACAGGATAGAAACCCTTGGAACACAGCACTACCATGCTTCCTGTATAATCCATGTAAAAATGTTTAGTTTCGCCGTTGTCTTGGAGTAATGATGGCATTCTGTGCATTAAAATAAATATTGTAGCACTTTATGAAATATGTAGATCATAAAGAAATAATAAGTTTGAACGTACCTCCCTCATCTCCTTGATCTTGGAGCCTCCTTTCCCAATTAGAGAGCCACATTGACTGGCCGGCACCACCAAACGCAAAGTCACTGGAGGCTTACTAGTAGCCTGGCTATTGCTCATAGAGTTAACAATATCCTGCGTAGAACCAAAACATCAATTTCTATTACAGTTTTTATTGAATTTTGGGGGGTTTTAATAACATTTTCATTAGAAAAAGGTCTAATACTTCTTCAAACTTGTATGCGATCATGGCGAAGGCCTTGAATATGGCATCTGTGGGTCCTGTGATGGTAACTATCCTCTCTGGGCAATTCCCCTCTGAAATATTTATGCGTGCATTACTCTGTAGAAACAGTTTTATGTTGTTTGTTAATAACCATGTTACACTTATTACAGCTACTAAAATGAATTGTAACGTTACTTACATCCTCACGCATCTTCTTCACAGTTTCCCCTTTCTGAAAAGAATAATTGCATTTTTGATAAAACACAGATATTAATGATTGTACAATTTACATTTCTAATAAATACACGTTAAAGTCCATACAGTACCAAAAAAAAAAAAAGACTGTTACAAACTCAAGTATTTGCAAGTATTGTCTTGGTGGCTGAATGTGTCTTTTTACCTTGCCTATAATGCTGCCAACCTCCTGCAAGATAAAAAAAGAAAGATAATGTGTTTATTTTTGTCCTCTTACATACTATGTCCACAATCTGTTCTTTATCACTGGTGGAATTATTAGCATGGTGCAGTAAATTGTGTATGTGGAAATTTTTGATTAGATGCATGCTGTTCTTTTACCTTGCCATGCATGAGGAGTCTGATAGTCAGAGTGACATTGAGGCCTCCTTCAGATTGCACTTTGTTAGACTCCATGGTGAGGATTTAGGACTGGGTGAATTAGTTAGGAACTCGCAGGAGCAGTTAAGGAATAGGGGCCAGTGGTCACCACACAGTCACCTAAAAAACTGAAAGAAGCAACAAAAAACCTTACATGCTTATTTTAATATTTTCATTTTACAAAAGCAGATTCAAATGTATTATTACACTGGAAAACCCAACAATTTAGGATAACTCATTTCAGTTTCAAGAAACTGATTACCTTAATCCGTTTAAGTTTTAAAAATCAATAGTAATGAGTACAGTGAATTTATTTCATTTGAGCTCACTGAAAAAATATTTGTTCTTAATATACAATTAAACTAAACACTTTATTCAAATATTTTGTGTATCTGAGATTTCATTCTAGCGAGTAAAACCATTAATATTAAATTAACTCAAACGTCTTGCAGTTAACTGCTAACTAGCAATAGTGCACATGATGTGCTAACATAACTAACAAAGAGACTGCACTATGAGCAAGTGTAGTTACTGGTCTTTAAATAAATCAGCATAAATATTAGCTCACTATTCATTGGCTCATCATCAACCTAACAACAGCCTCTGCTCTTCAGCACAGTGGTAACCTCCAAAACTCTGTTTAAGTCTAAACATAACAGAACATTAAACACTAACAGACATCACATGTATTCATATTTTGCAAAAACACATAAGCTAACACTTAATTTTTACATTTACTATTCTTACTGAGTCTAAAGCAAAGCTGGGAACTAGGAATCTGCTGTAACTAATTCGGTTTATTTTCTCATTTATATAATCAGTTACTGAGATCACATAACCTTTTCTATTCAGTGAAATGAATTTTCAGTCATTTTTGAGTGAAATGCACTTGTTCCATTTAGTAAATGTGATTTTCACACTGTCATAATCAGAGAAACAAAAGTTTTATGGAAAAACTAGAGTGAGATCTGAGTCATATCAACTCTAATACATATTGCTAAGGTCAAGTTTTGGTTGTTTAACATCAGAGATGATAATACCTCGAAAAAGTTTACTAAATCAGTTCAAAATAAATTTATTTAATTAGATTATAGCAGATGCTTTGCCAGTGACCATGTATCTTGCAAGGCGAAAAAAAGCATAAAATAATTATCTATTATTATTATTATTATTATTATCCCTGTCTGCAGCCTTTGACACAGATCAGTCGTTAATTAATGGATTGTGTGCATTATAGTCATGTCATCAGCCAGTCAGTTTATCAGCATGTCAAGAGATAATTTTCCCATGGCTGCATCATTTCACATAGCCCCCTCACTGCAGAACACAAGATCCAGGGGGCGTGGTTGGATCCACATATAGGGGGTGGAGATTGGTAGGTTTAGGGGTGGAGATGGGTGGGTTTAGGGGTCAGGGGGTGGAGACGGGTAGGTTTAGGTATATGTAAGGTGGGAGGAGTTGGATCTGGATCCAACCACGCCCCCTGGATCTTGTGTTCTGCAGTGAGGACCATCTCTCATTTCACAGCTCAGATGACATGGCTGAAATAAACAAGTAATCTGTATATAAAATAAAATGCTGTCTTATTACAAACAAGAAAGAATAGAATTTCAGAAAGCATTAATTTCTCTGAATAAATTGTACAATAAAATCAATCAAACACTCAAAATGTTTAGAATGTTGCTCTGCCCATTTCAGACCAGCAGGCAGAGGTAGCAGGGGACAGATAGAGATTGATGAGATCTACAGCCAGATGTCCTCCAATTTCCCACAGGACGCCAGATTACATAAAGACTTTAATCCAGATTAACAACATCCAGGGGTTGGTGTCTAGTCTTAACAGCAAAAATAATCTACAGAAATCTACGATCAGTGCCAGGCCTAGAAGACTAGAAGCTGGAGGCAAATAAATAAACCTCCTCGGTTATATAAAAGAAGAGGTTGAAAGATATGTCATAGTAGAAACATCTCACATCTTGATGTATTCAATTCTTAAAAGCTAAATAGCTTGTGGAACAGGAGATACATTTTTGAAGAAGAGAAAAATGTTAACAGTGGGATGAGCCATTAATCATGAGGGAGGATTATACACAACACACTTTCATAACGGCCAATCAGGCTGAAACAGATGGCATTATTTTGTGCCAAGGGGATCATAGATGAATCAGGTCTGATTCTGAAATACTTTTGCTCCCATAATGCCTCAGAGGAAAGGCCCTACTAAGATAGTGTGGACAGGAGCTTTGTTTTTGCATCGTTATGTCTAATTAGAGTTTCACTTCTGTCTGATGTGATGCGGTTGTGTAGAAAAAAAAAATGGCCACATATGGCACTGTTTGAGGCATGTTTGCTTCAAATTAGCAAACTCATTCTCTTTTTCAAACTCATCTTTTCATCGCTTCTACACATGAACACACACACACACACACACACTGATACAAAAGTTAATGGATTAATAAATGTGCAAACAATGCTGAATCCAGGTTTCTTGTTTTCTTTTATTTATTTTATTAGCAAGTTATTTATTAGCAGATTTCACTGCTGAATCACAGCCAATGCACACACAAAAAAAACCCTGCACCAACACAATTTGCTGTTTTGAATCAGGAATATTCTGCTTTCATGCCTATACCATTTGATTTATGACCTCAGCTTGCACATAGAGAATTCATGGCGGAAAAATTTCATTGCCTATTGCTTCCAATTGCAACTCCAGTATAAAGTTGTCTGTAACTGCTGGTCTAGGATAAATTTCATAAAGCCAAATCCAAACCTTAAAGATTAGTGAAATGCAAAAACTGACTCTACATCAGTGATTGCAGAAAGCTGCTATAATGCATCACTTGCCATGTTTACCATATGTGCAGAGAAAACGGATTCATTTATAAAAATGTATATGATATATTTTAGATTTAAATGATCATTAAATTTATTTATTTATTTTTTTAAGTCAGGAAACCATTTTTAGAACTAACATTCTCTACAAAGTATACTTTTTTCCCTATATATTCTTGGCCATCTACTTTGTTTTTCCTGGCACCCAAACTAAAAGTCATATGGAAAGATCTGGCTTGATTTACCCATTCTTTTGTAATTTTTGCATGGTTCTACATCCTTTGTTATGCTAATACAGCAAGATCATGCCTTGTATGATGTATATTTTTAAATACTATTGCACAGTTGTTTAAGTAATGCCATTATATCACTGAATACAGAGTAAATATCAACCATGTAGTCTATTCTAGCTACTTTTGTACTTACAGTATACCGGTGGTACAATACACATTACCTGAGGTACTGTGGCCTACACATTATGTCCACAGTTTAACTATTAGAGCACCCCATCTAATTTCAGAAGCACCGTTAGAGATTTTGGCCTGTGCACAGCATTGTAAGAGCAGCACTGCTCATGACATCTGATTGGGAAAGTGGGTCAGGCTTTCCACTAAAGAGCTTCTGGCCTCTTCCTCTGGAGCGACTATCAAATTAAGCACGCTTTGTGCATGGCTGAGCAATGCTCAGAAAAAGCTCCCCCCGTTTCCATTGCGCATCTCTGCACGGCACTCAATGTAGAAAAATGTATTGTTAGAAGAGGGTCTTCACTCTATGCACTGCGACTGAGGTTTTAGTTCCAATAAAGAGTGACATCTCTTATTTAAACCTACTGAGGCATGAACTGCATTAAATACAGAAAGAAGACATTAACAATGAAAACATTAAAGAGAGACCACTTTATTCTTATTATATACATGTCCATTTTTATTTGTTTTTAGTAACTTGCTGACTTGCAACACATTTGAAGATGAATGATTTTTTGGGGGGGATTTATTGTCTCATAATATTATTATTTTTATTACTGTCCTATAATATTGTAATTTTGTCCTGTCTATTGTGGTAACCAATATTATTTTTAGTATACTGAACTTCATAGAAATAAACAAGAGCTTATTGATCGAATGCAAACTGACAATTACACTAAGACAACATTTAGAAAGGTGGTTTAAAGTTAATAAACCCACTCATTAGCTTGGATTTCAAGAAGAGTCACAAGAAAACAAAATGATTTTCTCAAACTTGTGATTCAGCCAAGAAATACAACACAGTTAACATTGAATCATGAATGACAGCGGATCTAATTCCACCATGTCACTGTCTCTAAGCATTCTCTCAGTTTGATAGTTTCTAACTGTGTAAAATAATGGAATTTTGCAGTGGTCTTACCTGCTTTTGTCTAGCCATTGTCAAACAAATATTGCAGAGGAGGTTCTGGTATAAGACTTAAACCATTATCGGATCAAAGAAAAGTTACACGTGTAATTTTCATGCAAAGACATGGCAAATTGATACCGTGTATACCATGTGTTGCAAATTAACTAGATGTCATTGACTTCTTTTAGCTTGAACATATAAGTGATTTTTTTTATGTAAATATTCATTGATGGCCAAAGTGGCTTTAAAATTTAAATCCCCTGAAGAACCACATATCCTGAATCACTCTAGTAAACCTAGGAGCATGAATTGATATCGCTATTTTATGATGATGATAATCAGGATAATGACTGTTCAGATATTTTCAGTTCTGATCAAAGTCAATTTCGGCGCAGTGCCACCTCAGCTATCTGTCATATGCAAAGACAGTGCAGATACCCATAGACAAGTCTCGTGGACATGGTAATTATCCAATAATTAAATTATCTTACATAAGCTTCGTTAAATGTATATATCGTTGTGCAGACCGCAGTGAGGAAGAAATAAAGGAGATCTAATTGACCAATTTCCCAAGAGATAGCCACACTTTCCTCAAACATGTATTGTTCCTTTGTATTTGTTTAATTAGGTGTAGTGGCTCATTTAGGCATGTCCTCGAGAATCAAATACAACCATTTCCGAACAATGTCCAGCAAGGTTTAAATGATAGTTCTAGCGATTCATGAATTAATGATGTTTGACCTACGGTTGGCCTAGAAAACAAAACTAGTTTCAAAGCAGATATGTCAAAGGTATTGTAGACTAACATTTCATAATGCTATTTATAGTATGATCATCCAAAATGAAGTACAACGTCAAAATGTATGTTTTCAATCAAAAGTAAATATACATTAAGAAAAATATATGTGCCATAATATGTAGGTTGCATATAATCCATTTTCATTTCCGTTCAAATTTTAAATGCATATAATAATGAATATTCAGAACAAAACAACCTTCTGAAACATCCTCAGAAAACAATACAAATTGAAGCTTGAAAAGAGGCTTTACCTTTGGTGCTACTGGAAACAGATGGCCACCACTTTCGATGTTTGCAAAAAGATTAATAAAAACGGAACGACTGGCAAACGGAAAATTATTTCCCCCCTATCCTCTTGGTTAACTCAGATTGAAAGGTGGCATCCAATTGGCTAGAAGATGGAGTCATGTGAACACAATGTCACAACTCGTGACTTTCTCGACAGAATGATGGCAAAAATGCATTTGGACTGAAGTGATTTTGGGGTTCAGTTTTGATCTTCGGACAGTGATGTGAAATGCTGAAAGCAGGTCAGGAGACCATGGGTGCAGGGACACAGGGGTTTCCCCTCCTGCGAGATATCCGAATCTGTCCAATGAAACACCCTGGCAATTCAGCAAAAACAATTGGATGGTGCTCATCTGTGTCATGCGTGTTCTTTACCCTGAGGGTGTCTCAGTTATGATGATAGATATTTACTCCAACAATGAATAACTTAAGTAAATCTCCTAATCTCCCCCTGCCCCACATCACCAAAAAAGGAGTGTTTCAAACCAAAGACATAGAGTACAATAGGTACCAACTTCATGGCAACAAGGATCACTTCCATCATTGAAACTGATAGAGTATTTACATCTTTACATTCTATAGCACACAGGTGTGAATTATGGCATTGGACTGTCCATTAATGTTATGTTGGCGCCCCAATGTACTCTACTACACTTTAAATTCTATGCTCCAGCCAGCCCAGAATTACAATGAGCTTTAGCATTCTCCTCCATGGATTAAGTGACCCAGAGCAAATCCATGACTATGTTAGGACAGTTGAGGAGGGATTAAGCTCCAGTCATTATGACTGAAGTGCTCCGTTCAGTTAGTCACTGTAAATATATTCTCCATTCTTGAACTTACATTGGACATTACAGGGGGTTTATATAAAGAAAAAGAAAAAACAATACAAAAACAAAAAAATGTGTTTTGTGCCATACGTCATTCTAATGATTTCAAAACCAAGTGGCTATAGTTTGTTCCTCTGGGCTTTCCTTAACCTCCTTCTTAAAAACACTCACACTCTAGATTTATTAAACAGAAAAATGCAAGTTTTTTCAATGTTAGAGTTTTAAAAAAAACTTTACAAATTGTTTTATGATCATTGGTTGCGACTATAATGGAGGGTGATATGCAGCCTGCTGTCTATTCAGTGGCCCCTGGGAAGATGACACAAATAGAGCATTAAATTTGTTCCACATTGAAATAGGCAATACAGTGAAGCTCCAGATTGTTGTGGAGGGAAAGTCTGCCCAATCAAAAGAAATAAAGTTCATGTTCAGGCATCTTTGGTGTAAACTGCGACACAATCACTTTCCAACCCCCTTCCACTTTTGAGATATTGGATGCTAAGTCTGTACCTTGGCCTGTTCTTCGTTTGTGGATTACTCAGTTAGATGGATTTTTACTGTTGGCGATTTGACATGATCCAGGATTGTTAAGCTCTTCTGGAGTTGCTGTCATAGCAACAGGTCCGTTAGCTCAAACCTACTCGAGCAGGCTTATTTCACATAAACAGGAATAGATTGTATCAATTTAAGTGAAGGTGATACTGAATCATCTTTCTTGCAAGTATCTTATAAGTTTTCCTTATTAAAGGGGACATCAGATGCCTATTTTGGTATGATTCTTTAGGGTCTTCATGAAATGTCTGCAACTTACTTTGGTTAAAATTCCTCAATGGCGATGTAAAACAACATCCGTTTTACCTTGTCAAAAACAGCTCTGTTCACAGCGACCCGTTTCGGTGCATGTCTCTTTAAATGATAATGAGCTACTGCTCACTCCACCACTCTCTTCTGTTTTTTGCATTGGGTGGACATTACCATTCATTGGTTGCGACTATAATGGAGGGTGATATGCAGCCTGCTGTCTATTCAGTGGCCCCTGGGAAGATGACACAAATAGAGCATTAAATTTGTTCCACATTGAAATAGGCAATACAGTGAAGCTCCAGATTGTTGTGGAGGGAAAGTCTGCCCAATCAAAAGAAATAAAGTTCATGTTCAGGCATCTTTGGTGTAAACTGCGACACAATCCCTTTCCAACCCCCTTCCACTTTTGAGATATTGGATGCTAAGTCTGTACCTTGGCCTGTTCTTCGTTTGTGGATTACTCAGTTAGATGGATTTTTACTGTTGGCGATTTGACATGATCCAGGATTGTTAAGTTCTTCTGGAGTTGCTGTCATAGCAACAGGTCCGTTAGCTCAAACCTACTCGAGCAGGCTTATTTCACATAAACAGGAATAGATTGTATCAATTTAAGTGAAGGTGATACTGAATCATCTTTCTTGCAAGCATCTTATAAGTTTTCCTTATTAAAGGGGACATCAGATGCCTATTTTGGTATGATTCTTTAGGGTCTTCATGAAATGTCTGCAACTTACTTTGGTTAAAATTCCTCAATGGCGATGTAAAACAACATCCGTTTTACCTTGTCAAAAACAGCTCTGTTCACAGTTACCCGTTTCGGTGCATGTCTCTTTAAATGATAATGAGCTACTGCTCACTCCACCACTCTCTTCTGTTTTTTGCATTGGGTGGACATTACCATCAAAAACTAAATTAATCCAATTAATCCCTCAGTGGCTCTAGTAGCAAACAGCATCACTGTAAATCATTTTATTAAAACTTAGTAAAACTTTTATGATACTGAATCATCTTTCTTGCAAGCATCTTATAAGTTTTCCTTATTAAAGGGGACATCAGATGCCTATTTTGGTATGATTCTTTAGGGTCTTCATGAAATGTCTGCAACTTACTTTGGTTAAAATTCCTCAATGGCGATGTAAAACAACATCCGTTTTACCTTGTCAAAAACAGCTCTGTTCACAGTTACCCGTTTCGGTGCATGTCTCTTTAAATGATAATGAGCTACTGCTCACTCCACCACTCTCTTCTGTTTTTTGCATTGGGTGGACATTACCATCAAAAACTAAATTAATCCAATTAATCCCTCAGTGGCTCTCATGTCAGGAGAAAATGAGGACTCTTATGTTCACTTTTACATCCAACTACAAAACACCTGCATTGGTTACAAGACACTGTTGTTGCTACAGCTGATCAACTGTGGAGAAAATGGCGGACAGCATAAAACTGGCTGAGGGTGGAAGTATGCTAATACGGGACAGTCTGTCAGCGGCCGTGGGCAGGGCCTGAGCATTGTGACATAACCTGCTTTCTGGAATACCCCCCTGGACTAAATGATAAGTCGGATGCCCAGCACTGGGTCAGAATACTGAATTAAATCTAATTCTCTCTGCAAATGTAAAAAAAAAAAAAACACTTTTAAGGTTTAAGATAACCGTATACTTTTCAATACCTTATAAAGAGCCCCTAAAATGATCATGTATTCTGATGAACAAAATTTCACTGTGTGTTTGTTTGATTTGAAGTACGGGACATCAGGTATGTATGCAACAGTGGTGGGCTGTCAGGGCCAGCAAAGCCTTCTCTGCAGGCCTAAACACTATCAGAATCACTGATTTAGTTTAATATATTTTTCCATGAAAGTGTATTAAATTATTTCCAATAGTCTATTCTCTTCATTTCATATAGCTTTTCTCTTGGTTGCACTGCTTCCAGCAGTGTATGTTTATATTAGAGCTTTTATCCAATCATATTTCAGCAATCGTGTTGCCAGGGACAAAGAAATCTGCCTTAAGGCCTTCAGAATCAACAGTGCAGGCGTCTGTTAGTTTAAATCAATGGCAATGAAACTGTTGCTTTAACCAATCAGATTTCGAGTTGGCAGCACCAGGGCCATCTAGCTGGCTAACGAAAAGTCAGCATTTTCTCGTCCTTTGATTGGATGGTCAGCATACTAGCTAGCAAACAGCATCACTGTAAATCATTTTATTAAAACTTAGTAAAACTTTTATTACTGTTTCTCAGGTTTAGATTTTCAGTGCAGTTTGAAAAAATATTTGCCTACTATATTTAGTCAGTCTAAAAACAGTAGTCCTAATGACTGTGAAAAACAACCACACACTT